CAATTCATGTCTTAAGAAGAAAAATTTTCTCAGAAAAATTGTGTTAGGTAGTATAATTAAAATTAGCAAAAAGAAAAGCAAATCCTCCCAGCTACTCATATCCCATAGAGATGGGAATCACACATTTTCCACACTATACATTAACCACAGCTAAGGCAAACCCCAAGTGCCCTCTTTTAACAGAGAAGAAATGCTCTTCACAGAAGTGTAATGTACATATTTGATTTTCCTAAAGCATTAGAAATGGTTCCACAAAGCATTCTCAGAAGAATTCTATGCATATGGATTAGACAGAATGAGAAGAGTAAAATATGGGTAAAAAGTCAGCTAAATATATTGAACACCAAAAACTTATTAATAGTTTGGTGTCAAAATGAGAGCAGCTATTGCAAGCAGTTCATAAGGAACCATCCTGGGGCCAATCCTGCTCTATATTTTCTATTGATAGCTCTGAGGATTGTGTGACAAATGCACTAATCAATCCACAGAATATGCAGCTCTGGGAGCACTGCTAATGCTTTGGACGATAATATTAAAATTCAGGATGATCTTGTTAAATTGAAGAAATAAACCAAGATCAATAGAGCAAGCTCACGAAGTTCTGCCAGGTGTTGCAAATCACAGGATTCAGAAGCTCTCAAACAGAAAGCAAGACCACCCTGGCAAACAAAACCCCAGCTGGTAGAGCCACCCAACTCCTGTCACCCTCCACTCCCTTTTAGCCACAAGGATATCCAGACAGATGATGAGGAGTGTCATCTTACACATGATTTAACCCCATTACCTACAGCTTCTCAATTCTTTCCCCAGATCCTGTAATGAGGGGACAGAAATGAGGGATTTCAATTGATATGACTCATGGAAGACCCACACTGGCAAATTTAGACTTTGAAACACCACATCAGAGGCAGTGGCAGGAGGAGGGGACATATAAAGCTTTGTAGGAAGGAGTACCATGAACTTTTTCTAAGAGTGTCATAATGTCTTCCTAACATTCTAAAACATGGTTCCTAATGAGAATGGGATGGGGATGGGGGAAGATGAAGATCAAGTTTCTCTAACGACATAAGTTTTCCAGGTTTGGGGCAAGTCAAAGACTTTTTAAAACATATCCATCTTTTCTTTTCCAGGGACATCCTTAGTGACATTTATTTTATTATCCCTGATTAACTAGTCAATAACCAAGCCCTCGCTGCTTTCATCTTCTAAGCTCTCTTTCCTTTCATTTGCATCCCTTCACCTGCTGTCCTAGTTGACATCTTCATCACTCCTCACCCAGACTGGGGCAGAAGCCTTAGTGACTTCCTTCTCTCTCTATTCCTTTAGATCCATCCTCAAAACAGTTATCAGCGTGATGCAGTCAAAACTCTTAAATCTGACCTTGAGCCCTCCTGGTTTACAACATTTCTGTACTCGCAGAATGAGGTGCAAGTCCTCTAACGTGGCATACAAACATCTTCAGGGGGTTTTCTACCAGGAACTCCATCAGCTTCTTGTGTGGGGATTTCTAAATGCCTCAATGTCTGGGTGGGGGTATTAATATTTTGTGCCCATGGGCCACGGATGCCTTTGAAAATCCATAGGATAAATTCTCCCACCCAAACTGCCACTGATACCCTAATTGAGCAAAGCCTCTTATGGCTCCTGCTTCCTTCTGCAGCCTTCTAGTCCCCTTCTCCTCTGCAGCTCCGCCTCTTCTTCCCCAACATGAGACATGCTTTTTTTTCTTGCCTTCATACCAGTTTTTGCTTCTGTGTCTTAATTAACTCTGACACCTGGAGTGATTCTTGGCTTTACTAACTCTCCTTTAAAACATCAGCTCAGATGTCCCTTTACTAGGAAGTGTCCCTACACACACAGTCTGACACAAATGCTTCTTCCTGATCAAGCAATGGTGCTTTCTGAATATTTTTCTCCTTCATTCTATTAGAGTGCTCTGAGCACACAGTAGACTTTATGTTGACATAAGAGTTTGAGGGAAGGATGGGTGATGACTGGGCGAGGACAATGACTTTACAGATGACCATTGTGTAGGTAATAAATATCCGCATGATTTTGTAGCTCATTGAGCAGCTGAGGTCAAAGTTTCAGATCAGGCCATCTGCCTTTACTTCCAGAGTTCTATGCTGTCCCCGTCACTCAATGACCTTAACCACAGTCTCTATACAGTTCTTTGGAAGATGCCAAACAGCACTCCACCTGATGTTCTACTTACCTGTGTAGAGAACTGAAAGTCACGAGGAACAGTTTGGCAGGCACGTCTGTTTGGTAACTCTGCGTCCAGTTTGCTCAAGAATGCAGCAGTTGTGCTACCAGAAACACAAACAGGTGTTAGTGCCTTCATAAAAATAGAGATCCTGATGTTTATTGTGGCTTTGGATACTAACCTAGACTTTTATTGGGAGATGACTGAAAGTATCCCAGGGAGAACAAAAGGTTAGGTGGAGAGCAAGTTACAGTCTCAAATTAAAACAAGAGTGCATTATTGAAGAACATTAGTTTGAAAATAGAAAACTAGGTTTGTGAAATGCGAACCGATGATTTCATTTTTCCCACTCTGTGTTACTGACATGGAGATGACACTCTCTCAGACTCCACAGTACAGGGCCTAATTTCCTATGTGAATGTTCTAAGTCAAACACCAGACTCCAGTATGGCACTGTGTAACATGAATCCCCTACAACTCCTCATTTCACACCAGTCTTACATTAAGCCCTTCACCCACCAGGAGTCTTTCTCCAGTCCCCATCTTCCTCATGGCTTTGACTACCTACAGGATAGATGTACGCTCTAATCCAGCAGCTTTTTCCCATCTATTGAGATTCTAAAAGCAGAAATGAACCCTTTGTCTCCAGACACACACTCAGATGTGCATTTAAGTCAAGGCATGCAGAGAACTTCCATCCACAGAGGTTAAAAAGTGATGCTGATTCTGGTCTGCATTTCTGACATTTCCTTAGAGCTCTGAAAGGTTGACCTAGAAATTTCTTTAATGAGAAATTTCTTCTTCTTAATGAGAAGTTCTTTGTTTTTCCTTTAATCCAAGGCACCACCCCAATTTCTCCTCTCACCTAATGTCAGTCACAGACCATTGAAATTAGTTCCCATTCCTTTCTGTAATGACTGCTCCATTCTGTTTGGGTTATTTTCTACTCCCTTGTCCTTTTCCCAGGTAATTTATGGGATTTTTTAAACCTCTTATTCCACATTTATAACCAAACACCTCACTGAGGCCTGATTTATATTATGGCAGACTCTTGCAGCCTGCTCCCATCTCCTTCCTGATGTCCTGCTGTTTCTGTACTGCTAAGATCAGAGTCACCAAGTACTTAGGAAGTGGGCATGAAACACAAGGGATTCAGTAAGAACCAATATCATCCAGTGCGAGGTGGGGGAATCAACAAGAGGAATTAGAAATTTTTTAAAAAGAGAGATACCAATACCCCCATTGAACAATTCCTTAGGTAGAACCTGGCATTTAAATCAGCTTAGCGGGTTGCTGGAAAGAAGGATCTAAAMGTGAAACAAAACACAAACCCTGAGAAGTGTAAGACTTCCGCAGTTGAGACACATAGGCATTTATCTAGGATTACTTATCTCACCCAGATTAAGACAAGGAGACTAATGAAGTCACACAGCCTGGAAGCCACCCCACTGTCTGGAGTTTTAGGAAGTCATCAGTCAAAAGTGTAAAAAGAAGAGTTGCCAGAAGTTTGGATGAGATTTTTGAATATTGTTAGTGGAGTGCAGACAGGGGAAAAAGTAGGGACAAAGAAACTCAGTGCTATGGAAGGAACTGCAGACCTCGTTGACTGACAGGGGCTCACTGTGCRCTGCCCACTGCTTCTTTCCTGCTAATGCCAAGCACAAAYTGGGTGGGTGCAGGGCCACCAGCCACACTGTCCCACCCAGACTGCRAGAGTAAAGCATGGTGACAGACCTGGGACTGACATAGAAATATAAATAGGGGACTAAGGAGGATGTGGATTATTTCCAAGCAATGAACAATACAAACAAGGAAAGCCTTGAGTTACTAAGCTAAGTGGTGTTTTTCTACTATTGGCACAGTGCCTGGTAGATAATAGAATTCCCATATACTAAACTGAATTGGGATCCCTGTAGGTAACTGTGGTCATCAG